CCCACCTACAATAGCTACAACAAAAGTTAATTCAGGAATTTTATTGTGCAAATAAAACTATACAGTTCATACCATTCACAAAACAAGAAGCATGAGTGAAAATGAGCATACCTCTACAAATCTAACTCTGATGGTGTGAAATGAAAACATCTGAACCCACAATTTTATATATTAATGACTACGATTATTGCCACTTAGTTTAGAAACTAATCTACAAATGGTGGAGAAGATGGAGGGTCTTTAGTTATAGCTGTAATGTTGAGATCAAATGATTCTGACGAGCGTGGGGTATACATATACAATTAAGCTCATCCACAATCAAGTTTTGCATTTATAAACTCCTAAATACTCCACACGTGATTTATCGCAAGTATACGAATTGTGAGCGAGTATAGGGTATTAAGGGTCGATCTCACAGGAAAGAGTGACAATAACCGGTGTTTTTCAAACTCCTTTATTATCTAGACTACCAGAAACATAAAATTAATGAAAATAACATTAGAAAGCTCCTAGAGGTATGGAATTCCTTACTATACTTGCAAATGAGATTACCGGTTAAGTGAATGCTATTATCTTGGCTAGTTGTGGCGTAATTTCCTAATGTATGTGAAACCTACTCTCGTAGTGAATCAACTATACTTGTAGTTAAGCCATACCTACTCTCGTGGTTATGAAATTAACTACAAGGTCATTTTTTCTATGAAATTACATGAAACAAGTCACTTAAGCCACAAAGATGCACATCTACTCTCATGAGTGTACTCCCTAGGTTTATCACTTCCTTGAACTAGTGTTAAATTCCAATTCTCATTGCAAACTTAACACCTTTAGATAATCACAATGGGCGGTTAATCATGATTAGAAAAGCAAAAGTGATAAATAACTTGCTCAAAATAATATCAGCACATAACCAAATAAACTTCACTAACAAGATATAGCAAGTTCAACCATAATTCTAGGCATAAACTTTAACTAAACATGAAAGTAAGATCTAAACTTGTATTATAGTTAAACATGAAATCAAATACAAAAGAGAAAGTGATAGGAGAGAAGTCACCCTTATCACATGAGCTTCAAACTCTCCATCTTTGCTCCTCCAATCTTTATCCAAATTTAACTACAAATACAAGAAGGAGACACTACACTAATTACTCTATACTACCCTAACTAATGAACTAAGGAAACTCTAGTGAAAGCTATATTTCTGGTGAGTTTCTCTAGCCTTCCAAAATTTTTTAAAATATCCTTCAAAGGCTGCTATTTATAGAGGATTCAAGAGCCAAATGAGTTGTTTCTAGTTGTCATTTTTGACTCTTGAAACTCTCTAAGTTTGCTTATCAAAGTTTCCATGCATCATCTGATCATTTGCAGCCGGAATCTTTGCAGAAAAAGTGGTAAAAAAGGTTGTGTGAAAAGGGCACAAGTTACAGAGTAAGCTGCAGCCGAAATCTACTAAAACGCAGGTAGAAAACACGGCCTGTGCCCGCGTTTTGACCCCCGTTTTGATCTTTGCAGGTTTACACTTTTCTCGGCAGAATTTATCCTTGCTCTATTTTTGGTCCAATTTCAACTAATATTTTCTTAATATTAGAGGCTGAACTAGCTCTTGTATGAAACATGAAAGTTGTAGCCCTTTGAGTTATATTTTCAATGCATCAAGAATCATCCAATTTGGAGCTCTGTGGACCAAGAAATGACCAAAATACCCTTAACTGGTCAGAACCTTGTTTCAGCTTTCGACCATGAAAATGCACTTCTGTATTTCGACTTTTTGACAAGGAAGCCAACTAAAATAGACTTTGATGTCTTCATACCAAATGTAGATATATCTCTTAGCTTCAAAATGGTATAAGCATCACCTCAATCCGATCATTGTAGCTCAATATATAGTGAAAATACCACAAGGTGTCAAAGCTGGAAAACCTTTCTTCTTTTGTTCTTGATTGCATTTCCTCTCTTGCACTTCATATCTTCTTTTTTTTTACTTTAAACCATCATCAATCATCCAATTATCTTCTCAACTCATGCCATTTGATGATTGAATCATTAAACCTACAAAAACATGAAGTGTTTGCCATTAAAATCCATAGAAATGCAATTTTTACCAGTTAAACCATAAAATACATATTTTCACTAGAAACCTAGTTAATTAGCTATAAAACTAACTAAAACCACCAAATCTAACTAATAAAATATACTAAAAAAACACGTAAAATATACACTTATCAGATTCTTAATCTCCCACACTTTAATGAACTCTTCAACATGTTTAGTTCAAATGAGTGTGTTTTGTTGGAAGAACTCAATTAATGTTTCTTGAGCTTTAACAATGAAGAGCACAAAACTTCTACAGTTACAGTTCACAAATAGTCTTCAAATGGTTCTTCTACTTTGGCCCATTAATATCGTCTTAAACACATTTAATTCAATCGGATGGTTTTACCCCAATTCACCCCATTTCCTTTCTATCTTACCATTATACTAAACGAGTAGTTAAAAGGGTGAAATTGTCACTAACAACACATAAACACCATTTGCGAATGTAATTATCATCTCACAAAGGGCGCTTTAGTAAAGTCATACTCCAATGAGCTTGGCCTGCTTGTACACTAAGGTGGATTACTTGTATGATACTTATACAATCCCTAAATTGCCCCTTAAAATGTCAGATGAAAATCACCCAATAGACAAACTACAACTCCTTTATACATATATATATATATATATATAGGAAACTTAATATTACAAGTATATATACTTACAAAAGTAGCATGCTGCCCTCACCGTCATTTTGGACTAGATCTTTTATTGAGCACTAGATCATTTTGAAATATTGCAATTACGGGTGCAAACGAGTCGAGTCGAGTCGAGTTTTGGTTTAATCGAATTGAGTCTTAACTTAGTTTTATGAAACTCGAGTCCGACGAGTTCAAAATGTAAAGTTCGAGTTTAAAAAAATAAAAAATATAATTATTTTATTTTTAAAAAATTAATAAAATAATAATTTTTCTTAACAAAAATATTAGAGATATATATGTAATTTTACTATTAAAATAAAAATTATATATAAATACCGCGAGCTAACGAACTGAATATCTTTGAACTTGAGTTCGACTTCGAATTCGATTTGATCAGTTTGAACTCGACTTGACCTACTCGTGAGCGATTCAATTCATTTGCAACCTTAATTGCAGCCCTCACCAAAGCTATTGTTTTTATTTAAAATATTTTTTAGTTTCTTTGAAAAAATAATAACTTCATGGGTATTTTGTTTTATAGTAAAATAATTTTACTACTGAATGTGCAAAGTGTATGCAGATTTACCATTCGGAACCTTCAATAAGGATACACATATTGACGGTATGATTTCCTAGGACGACCATACAATTTTTTCTAAAAAAAATGACACTTAAATATATTTAGTCATATAATAATTTAACCACCACAACTTGCATATAACTACTGGGAAAGATACATGTCGTGCATGTACACTTTTAAAAAAAGTGCCAAAATACCAAAAAAGGATATAGAAAGTTATTAGTAGAAATACTTTAAAAAATTTGATTTTAGATCTTTTTTATAAATATAAGTGTAATCAGTAGTGAATTGTGATTATATTTTACTGATTCGTAATATAACAATATATTGAACAAACCATAAACTGACAATTTCTTTTAACATCATGCTCGGTGGTGAAGCTACAAACTTTGAATAGGACAGTATTATACTTTAAATAGGGCATTATTATACTTCAAAAATGATTGAATTATTATGTAAAGAGATATCAATGTACAACTATGTATTTATTTGGCTATTTCTTAAAATTTTCTAGATTTTATTCAAGTAGTATTCAATTTTCTATTTAATTAGCTTTGAAACTATTGTACCATAAGGATGTCTTAAAGTTATTGGTCAATTAGGAAACAATGTAAAGGACATATAGATTTTTCAAAATATAGGTCGTAATTTCAAATGAGAAGGGTATTTCTTAGAATTGATTTGGCGCAATTGTGACAAAAACCTAAGACATCGTATAGTTTTCATGATTTTTCCATCAAAATTGAGAGGGAGGAAGAGGGGTAATTGCCCACTCTCGTAGACCCATAGTGTCGCTCCGCTTCTTATCATGCTGGTGTCTACATATAGAAATAGATAAAGATATTCTATTCATTCGATTGCTTATTAATTTTGATCAAATATAACCAGTGTAAAACTGAACAACTAAAGTATAGTGTTTTAGGATCAGGTACAAATATAATATGTACACTTTGCTTATTAAATACTTTACAGGCGTGTTAATAAGGCGGACAAATTTGAGCTCAGCTTATTAATTTTAATCAAATACAACAAGTGTAAAATTGAACAACTAAGGTATAGTGTGCTAAGATGAGATACAAATATAACATGTACACTTTGCCTATTAAATACATTACACAGGTGTTAATAGGATGGACAAACCTGAACTCGACCTATAAAAAATTGTTTCCTATATATGGCCCAAAAAAATATATGTGCACTTTGCCTATCAATGATATAAAGGGTATACATGTCTGAATTCGGCCTATATTAATAGGCAAAATGTACGTGTCTGAACCTTGTATATCATTGAGTTGAGTTGAGTTTGGGTCTCAAAATGGAATCCATTTTGATATCCAATAAAATTGTGAGCTGAATTTGGATTTAATAAGGCTCAACTTGATGAAAGTCCAATCCGACCAATTAAGAAGATAAGTATATATATTTTTAACGATAATGATATCAATTATTAAATAAATTATATGTATTATAACATACGTCATTTATAATTTACATACAACTTAAATATTCCGTATAATTATGAATTAATTGTGAACTTGAATCAAGCCCAAACTAAAGCTAGAACTCTAATATCTTTGGAATCGAGTATGAACCTTATGCAAATCGGAAACCGAACTCAAAAGCCTGAAAATTCTACTAAAAGGTAAACAATACTAAATTCCACCAAAAAAAAAAAAAAAAACTAAACTTCACCACCATTAGCACATCATATCATAAGAAACTCCTGTTTCCAACAGTTAAAGTGTAAAGAAATATGAAAAAAATACAAATTTAGCTGCCAAGGATACCTGACCAATTCGCCGCTGCAAAAACCAAAAATGAAAAGAATGAAATTATCAGACCCTGTTCATTTCTACGTCTGCTAGTTGCCTATTCATCTGCGCTTTAAACAGTTCAGCCTCTTTGCACCCGGATAACTTCAGTACGTTATGGTATAGTATTTCACTTAGCTGAAATTCTGTTATCTTAGCCATCATTCCTGTGGAACATAAGAGGACCATAAATATTTCTTGCAACCTTTCACAGAATCCCCAATTAGTAACCTCTCTCTGAGCCTATGTATGCGTCAAATTCGTCCCAATGAGGCATCTTCTTGCAATTTCCACGGTATACAAGCCACCTTCATTTTGGTATACACCAGGTTACATCGTGGCTTGGCCACACCTTGTTTTGGAAAGGCATCATACCTTTGCAATCAGCCTAACTTTTACATACAAGGCGCAGAAACTTGGTCCTTAACCATTCATTTGATTGTGTTACACATGTAATAAAATTCCAACTGGATTTTTGCTCATGATGATGATTCTGGTTCCATCCCTATTTAACGCACCTTTGACATACAGAAGACAGGCATACGGGTTTCCTGGATGAAAAGACAGGAAAAATGTGCATCGCACCCCAAAAGAAAAAGAAGCCATTGTATCAATTAATCAAGACAGAATTTACAAAATACAAAACATTCTCAGTTACCACTTTACAAATACCTGTGTACAAGTCTCAAACTTTGTAAACTCTGGCTGGCCATCTATGATTGGTCGGTCATACATAAGTTGAAATTTTCTCGATGGTTGCTGCTGCTGCTCAATTAATCACTCCTCTCCTAACAAATTAAATTACTACACAACTAAACACACTGAACATGCCCGGGGTCAGAACTACATGACTACACACGGAACTTTGATAATGTATACACTGCTGAACCATTGGATTCCATGTGTAGCCAGTGAAGATTCTTTGACCCTCTCCCTTGCACAAATAACATAATACAGCCCAGTTATCATCCGGCAGTATATTCTGTAAAAACAGAACTAGGTGGCTGTTCCATCCATTTCAGAAACTACGAATTGCAGTCCAAAATCATATCTTTGAGAACATTGTTGGTAAAAACAAAAACCAATCATTCTTAGTGATCACCACCAGCATTAAACAAAGATTATGGACTCTTAAAAGCAAGCAATGGAAAAAACAAATTTTCTAATATAAACGGGGAATGTAGGGCATGAAAAACCAAAAGAACTTCCACACATTAAAGAAAACCGAGTCTTGTAATCCTACAAATTCTACCATGCCAACAACTAAAAATTCTGTTCAAACATTCATTTGGCTGATATCAGTAAATATCTAGATATCATCCATAGATCCAACGACACAACTAACTTGAAAATGATGTGGCCCACTCAGGAAACTAAAGTGTTAAAAGTTTTGACAAGTGGATGACCTGATAGTAACCAAATTTTCAACCAAAAACCATGCAAAAATCTACAATAACAAATACATGTATCCTTGAAGATTTGCCAGCACCTCTTAAAAATTCATAAATGACATACTGCTTTTATAGTAAAAATTGAAGCACCGTAAAAAAAATAAATAAATAAAACAGTGAGGTGTAACTGAAAGAAAAGAAAAGAAACCAAAAATTATACCTCTTTTCCGCTACCATTGCCTGGGGGGGGGGGGTGATGGCACCATGTGAGTGCTTTGTTGCATATCCACTAGATTGCCAGAAGTTTCTCAGTTTTGCAGATCGTATTGTTGAGTAGGTGAAAGAGGAGGGTTTTATTTTTTCAGTAAGAGAGATAAAGTGTGAGTGAAGAACAATGGAGATGACACATTTTGATTCTCTAGAAATTTTATTGGAATGCAAATATGTTTACCCTAAAAACATGACTCCACAACAGAGAGAGAGAGAGAGAGAGAGAGAGAGAGGGCTTATGATTCACACCTGAAAAGCATCAATCATATTTATTTTGATTTTCAGCTTGCGTGACCTCTAGAAAAACTGGAAGTACGTAAAGACACAGGACATAGATAATAGCCTTATCAAGCCAGAAGCCAAAATCAGGTATCACAATCAACTGAGCACAACTCTGAGAGTAATGGATGCAAGAGAAATGAAGATAAGAAAACTTTGCATGCAAACTGCAATACAATTGTCCTGGGCAAAACAAAGGTCTAAGATTCATTTGGAACTTTACTTCCAAACTTCTTTAACAAAAAATCCACACAAGAATGGTACTACCAACTACCATGTAAAGGATGCTGATCTGGCTATTGCTGCAATGTACTTTTCCCACTTGTCCGATTCTTCTGAACTTCAAAAGCATTTCCTTGGGTACTTTACAAAAATAGTGAAAGAACCATCAAATTAAGGGAAAGCAGTTTGAGTACAGACAGTAGTTCATTATAATATGCCTAATCATGTACTAAAGCATTCATTTCCATTATTAATCTGACAAGACTTTCAGAACAGGACATCAATATGCTCTTCGAAGGATCAATTTTTGGTTGAGACGTCTACACATCAAAGTCATAAACAGTTCCAAAGTATAAGAAAGCATCCACTGAATTGCATAAGGTTTAGCACCAAAGATACGATTGGACAGGTATTACAGGGATGATCAAAGCAAACAATATGAGCCTCACATATCATTCAGATTCTCCTCGAAGTCGTAATGCAAACCTTTGCAGGGATAAAAGAACCTCCTTTAACCTCTCTTTAGCAGCAGCATCAAGCAAATTGCCTTCACTATCAAACTTTGCAGGCTTTTCAAATGCATTAAGGAAAAACTCAGGTTTGTTGATGAAGTGAAGGTCAAGGTAAACTCCGCTCTGCCGGAGATGATACTGCGATCGTCCCCCACCAAAACTTCCTCCAGCACTAACAATTGCAGCTGCTTTATCGGCCCAAACATTTGGAGGTCTAGATGCCCAGTCAACTGCATTTTTCAGAGGTCCTAGTAGGAATGGGAAAAAATTGTGTTACTATAATTAAGTGGCAAAGAAACATCAAATTCAATATATTGGTGGATTTAGCAATGGATGACATCATCATTTAAAACCCTTACATGTGCAGATCTCTGCACTGCAGTTTGTGTATAACGCTTTCATACTCCCTGATTGATCACTTATGATCAAAAGAAGGTTCATGAACCAGTAAAAGAGTAAAATTGAATGGAATTGCCCCCTAGTATTGCAACTAAACTATCATAATCCTACTCAGCTTTTAAGATTTAAATTTGACAACTTGGAGCATAAGCAGTGTTCAGATGAGCAAAATGTAAAACAATGAAATCATACTAACAAAAATAAAAAGACAACCTCATCTTAGCTCAAAGAACGAGTGACTCTATCCTAAGCTTGCTTTGCAAGATTAGGCTGGATAAAATGGTGGAGGATAAGAAGGGTTTATTGGGATGACAGAATCCAAGTATCTAATTATTCATTAATGATATGGAGCTTACATTTATGTCTGTTCTAAGCTGTGCAAAGCACAAAAGGTAATCTCATTGTTAACTAAAACAGGAAGTTAAAAAGAAAAACAAGGCTGACTGAGAATATACTCCTATGCTTCACATATCTGCCTCTTCACCATCTCTACCAAGCTCCCAAACCCCCCTCCCTATTGATGGACAATTGCATTCCCACACAAAATGACAAGGAACAGAAAAGAAAAGCGTCTTTCCCATAACCCCGCCTCTTGGTTATCCAATCATGTGAACACTCCTATGGATCATAACTGCCTGAACTACAGCCTAACAATTGATTACTAATAAATTTCAATCAAAACAATTTTGTTAATAGCGTTTGGGGACTGTTAAATAAATACGCTAAATCTGACAAGAACATAATCTAAATGATATCGAGGGTCAATATAATCAGTTACTTGATAGCATGATTGCCAAGAAAGTGTAGCAATTATTACAATAAAATCAGGGAAACCATAACAATATAAATTTCAAATAAGTATCATTTAGCGAGCCTCATAAATCTCAGTACACAAACCTTTATCTTCTTGTGACTAAATAAGACTTTAATCAATAATTGAGCACAACATTAGACATTCTGGGGCTTAAACACAATATTTACAAGTCAATACAAGAGAACTTTTCAGTCACAAACTCATTAGTCATGGAAACCCCAATATTAAACATGGAGTTCAGCATCAATGGACAACCTTTCAAGCACATAAATCCTGTTACACTTGTACCTTGAAACAGCTAAATCTAATACATCTAACTTCAAAAGAAAAGGAAACAATTCCATCATCATAACTGTCTCTTTCCTTTGTAGTCAATGTCCATCTCAAGCTCATATCTCAACCACAACCTATACATGTTTCAGAGTTGAGAACTAGCACCAACAGACTACTACCAAACATGATGAGATAAACTGAATCACAATGAAATATCAAAAATAAAGACCTATCTGGGAAATGCATAAAATTCTTTGTACAAACCAAAGATAACTATATTGTTAGATATACATTTCGTACTCAGGTCGGATGACCTGCTTTAGAAAAATAAAATTTGTTTAAAACACAATCTACAATAACACTCTAAAACACCCACAAGTTTTAGGAAAACACCAAAAAGTGAAAGTACATTACATAGAGTACCGGTGGCAGAGATGGGTACCGGCAGTGGCTGGCAGGGGTGAGGGGAGGTGGTTTTTTGGAAAATAGAGGATGTTTTGAGTGTTTTAGACAAACACTGCAATTTTTTCTAAAACTACTACAGTAAGCAACAATAAAGTTTTAGACAAACACCCAAAGAATACACCATCCAAACAGTCCCTCAAGCATTTGAAAGTCTTACATGAAATCTTAAGTGGGCATCAATCAATAATCCCCAGCCCAAGAGCCACTACTACAGCATTATTTGTTAAACTGGTTGATTCTGGGATTTGAATATCTCCTTAACTCAATGTATACACAATTAGCAGCCACTAAATCCAGTAAACAATGTTACTTCTTCACCTGTGCTTGGTCTGTAAACATTTTTGCAAAGTGTTCTCAGGTACAACAAAGTACGGAAAACCTTATGTTTTCTGTTAAAGTACATTTTTCAAAAACACTCATTTCCACATCCTTTGAAAACTATAACATTTTTCTCAGGCAACTTAAACAGATGTCTAATCAGGAATACACTTCAATTGCATCCGTACCAAATGCAACTCATATTTTTCAAGTTCAAGATTTATTTTTCTATTTCTTTCCCAAAGAGGAAACTACATCCACAAGCCATAAAATAGATCTGATAAAGTAGAGTAACAAGAAGCAGAATCAGGATTTACATGGAATCGCATTTCAACTGTGAAACTTGCTTTGTAGGATAACCCTCAAGGCCTGGCATGTTATCAGTCACCCTCATGTTTATTTAACAAGGGAATAAAGTTCCATTTTCTTCTTGAAGTTCATACCTTGCATTGGCAGTCCTCTGTATGCTTCATAAGTTCCATTCAGACCATTGATTACAGTAAATATGTTGAATACAAAGAGAATTATATTGAATAATTATAAAAGTAAACAAAACAATTAGTATTCTTAACAGCGTTAATTGTAAGTTTAATAAACTTGGAGATGAATTGAGTTTCAGTACCAGTAACAGAGTAATTATACTCTGGAGAAGCAAAGAGATAGCAATCAGCTTGTTGAATCTTTTCCCTAAAAGCCTCAACTTCTGCAGGATATGTCCCATCAACCTCCAAGTCCGTATTTAGAAATGGCAATGGCGATATGTCCACATACTCTATGTTCAAACCCTTAACTGACTCCTTAGATATCTCCATTGCTTCAATAAAATCAAATATAAAAGGAAGTTACAACCTATAACACATGAATTAAAGGTAAAAAATGAAATCTAACTTGAGAGCTTCCCAAGAATCCGTTTAGGTTTTAACAAATTATTCAAATGGTTTTTTACCTGTAAACTGATATAATCAATCCAGAAAACAATTGATATTTGGCACTACTACAATTGATGTTGGCACAACCCCTGACTTTCTGAATCACGTGAAGAGGAAAAGGGGAAGAAAAAAAAAAGATCGTCTTTCATTGTGTTTACAGCCATCAATGTTGTATCACAGTGAAGATTTCTTTCTTTCTTTTGTGTGTGTGTGTGTGTGTGTGTGTGTGTGTCTTTTCACATAATTGGAAGTCAAGGGAATCAAGAAACTATTGGAAATATGAAAAGAATCCAAATTAGGAAGTCCAGTTACATGTTTTCAGGGGAAAAATACAAGGGAAAAAAATATCAGCAGCATGAAAGAGAAAATTCTTTAAGTATGCTCGAACTTAAAACCATTCTACAAATGGGTCCATTTCGAAGTGGAATTCTAATTCAGTGGTCTTCGCGTTCCTGAAATGCAAACCCAAGTCCAAGCTCACATTTACAACATGCAAGCTCAGAGTGGCTTATTTTCTTCAAAAAATTAATATATTTAATAGAGATTGCATTCAAAGAGAGTGAGCTCTTTTTTCAGTTATTTAGAATTAGGCAACATATGAATGCGACAACTTTTCATCTAAAACAATTATAAGTCAAACTTAAGAGTCAGCTCAATCAAATGAAACTCGATACGCATGTAAGAAGACATAAAATTAGACTTTTCCTCCATTATTCCTCCATTCATCATCAGGCTCACCGACATATTATCACCACAAAAATTGGCAGAACAATAAGTTTGTTTGGATAGAGAGAATTTGGTTTGTTTAATTTATCCTCACAAATCCCAATCACCTTTTTATCTTCCCAATCACCTTTTTATCTCACATACGTCACATCACAAAAAGTGCTACAGTAAATATCTCAAATAAATCATCCAAATTCTCTCTATCCAAACAAACTCAATATGATTACTGAAACCAAAGTCGTCTAAACATCATTTTCTTTCCTATTCAATAGTTTTAGAATTTGCTCCAGCATGAAGTTAAATAAATTAGACTACATTTTCCTGTTACTTGATTAACAGGGTTCCGTTATGTTAACATCCAACAAAAGAAAAAGAAAAATACAATATCTCCTAAAATTACCAATCAAGAAAAATTATACTGTAAAACTTCAATCAGAGATTATACATCCCGGTGTTTTGCTATCAACGGTTGATTCAACTTCATTTCTTTTATGGCTATCCCAAACTCAATCAAAATGAGTAACCAAAATTGCTATAGGAAGGACAGGGGAAAGAAAGGAAAGTAAAATTTGGGGAGGAGATTATTAGGACAAATAAGCATAATACCAGCTCGAAGGAGGCCGCGGTTGTAAGAGCCTTTGCGAAGGGAACCGCAGACAGCGGCGACGTTTATCAATGGTGGACCACGGACTACTGCAGCTTCCATCCTCGATCTTAAAATGGGAAGATTTTGTTAAAGGATAGGGATGGGGAGAGGGATGAGTGAGAGTGGACTAGAAAATCACATGATCCTATCCTTGATCTTAATAACATTGAACGTGTACGGTAGTTTTCTTTTCTCTTTTCTTTTTGGTGTAAACTTTGCAGTGCCCGTACTAAACCCGACTGATCTGGAATCAAGCACTGGCGGATCCTTCCGGGTTGGCTCTCCCATGATGTAGGGACTGGCTCTGCCATCGGATTAGGGGCAGGAGCGGTCAACTAACTGTCTCCTCACAAAACCCAAATGTGAGGCGAGAAATATTCCACGTCAGGAAACCTTCAACAGACCCCAAAAACGACGCCGTTCCAAAAAAAAATGTTTAGCCAAAACGGGAATATGACGGACCAAACGGAAGAGTTTCAATTTTGAAAATCAAGTTGAAAATTTGAATCAGCCGCACAAAACAAAACTGAGGGAAGAGAGGAGGCATCCTGCTGAAGGTAGCAATTGACAAAAAAGTGGGTGGAGAGAGCTGGGGTATGATGTTGAGTGAATAAGGAAGAAAGCAAACCAAAAAGTGGAGAGCCGCACAAAACAAAACTGAGGGAAGAGAAGAGGTGTCCTACTGAAGGTAGCAATTGACAGAAAAGTGGGTAGAGACAGTTGGGGTATAGTGTTGAGTGAATAAAGAAGAAAGCAAACAGTGCAGTGAGAGTGTTGTATGTATTTTGAAGCTGGGTATGAGAGTGTTGTATCCATTTTGAATGCATGCAAGGCAGGCGGCAAGATAGAAGCAAACAGAGGAAATTCGTCATCTCACGAAGCCAGATTTTGTCGTGCAACTTAATACCAGAAGCAACTGCGCTCTCCGAGTTCGGTGAAACATAAAGCGTATGGTGAAGACCAAGGTAACGTTACTGAATACAGTGTGTTAAATGAGTAATATGTAGTTGGTCTATGCTTATCATGCAATCTTAGTTTACCCTTCTCCTGACCATACAGTGTGTATAAAATAGAGGCGTAGAGTTCATTGAGGTGAAGCAGAAGAAAAGACATATATGTAAATAATAAAAGGGTGTACTTAGTGTTGTAAGTTAATTACATGATGTAAGAAATATATTACAATGAGTAGAAAATGCTTGTTTGGCCCTCAAAATGTAGAAATAGTAGAAAATGCGCAATTGGCTTAGGCCCTTGTCATTAACGAATGGCATAAGATCCAGTGAGTTAAAGAACTTAGAACCTAAATATAATCAGCAGAGTGGATGTACATACAGTTAAAATAGACTTACATCGTGTGACCAATACATTACAGTCCATATAACTTAGTGTACATGGAATTCTATTAGTACATAAATAATGCCGTTGTCTTAAAGTAAAAGTAAAGTGATGTGATTCATTAATCATATTGATAAACGTAATAATAGAATTTGGTATACGAGTAATATATGATTCATAACACATTATGAATGGTAATATGCATTTATCTTGTTATTTATGTACATACAATTCATGAAGTGTTACAAATTATGGTGTTTGATGCATAATTGGTAGGAGCAGAAATAATGAATTGCAGCAAATTGACAGAAGATAGGATCCCTGAGTTAGGAACGGAGTTTAACAGTGAAGAGGATGCGCACAAGTTTTACAACAAATATGCCTTTAAAATGTGTGACGCCCCGAAAAAAATGAGTTTGAGAACCCGGAAATTTTCTAATTTTCTAGGGTTTATTTTATTTAATCGCCCGCCTTTTCTTCATTTTCTTTATTAGAAAAATTCCCCAAATAAAGTTTATGAGCAAAAATAGTTTTAAAATGATTTTTCTAGTATCGGTTAGTTTTTGAGAAATTAAAAGCGTATTTTGGACGTGGGACCCGCAAGTGCGGTAAACGCAATATATTTTTGACAACTTGTTGGATTTTTGTATTAAGTGATATTATTGTACAATGTGTTAAGATATTTGTATTGGAGAGACAAAAAGATAAGTTTTAAACCTAAAGATGACAAGTGTCACTTTCTTACTCAAGGGTGGACTTTGACCATTTTACTACCTTTACTAATTGATTAAAAACTTGACCCAAAATTCATCTTCTTCATAAGCTCCTTGGCCGAACCTCTTGGAGACAAAAAAGATAAAAGCTTCCAATTTCTTCCTTCTATGTCTTGCCCAATCTCACAAACCAACCGTTAAAACCGTGATTTGCTCCATAAAAACCTTTCTCTTGGTGGTATTAAGGTGTGTGGTGAAGTGGTTTGAGAAGCAAAGGTGCTAAGTTGGGTCTTTCCTTGGGTTTGCATGGTAAATGACTAAGGAACCTTTCCTTTGATCTTGATAATGTTCAATTAGTGATTGGTGGTGGTTAAATAAGTGATTTTATGGATGATTTCATGATTTTGGTTGAAATTAGTGAAGTTTTATATTTAATTAGGATTTTTCTGTTCTCATATGATTGTTATTATGTGGTTATGTATGATGATTGGAAATGATGTTTAATGATTCTAGAATGTGGAAAAAGTGGAAGATTGCAAGTAAATTCTGTTTTGGAAGAAATCTGGAAAATTAGGGTTCTTGGTTCTTCATTCTGTCCGAAATTTTTGGTCCTAGATAGAGGCTGAATTGGCCTTGGCTCAAAACATGAAAGTTGTAGGTATTGATGTTTTAAGGGTGCCTGTAAAATTTCAGGTCAATTGAAGTAGTGTAGAATGAGATAATCCGAAATTACTATTGCTGTTCTGGGTTCATCAGGATGTTAGAACTGCGTCTGAAATGGGTTGTTTTGACTGGAATTTCTTTGGATTTGGTTGTTGAGGTCTTCTGATGAAATGTAGCTTGATGCCCTAGCTACCATATGCCTTTGGAATTTCTGCATTTGGACCTGTTTAGACTGAGTTGTACTGATTACAGAATAGTGTAATTTGTAAACCTGCAATTAAGGTTCTGGTTTGGTATTTTGCATTTTTGACCTAGTTGTGCTAAGATTTGGACTGAGTGGCCTTCTACATTGTTGTAGCCCTGTCTTTTAGCTTCGAAACGGTGGGTCTTGCATCTTCATCCGACCATCGTAGTGCTTTTGGCACCATTACCGTAAAATGACGTCAAAACTGTTTTTCTGGTTTTGAGGTAAACTTTCATTTCCGGACTTTTCCCTAGCTTGACTTGTACTAGTACTACTTGGAGCTTGCTGGATGGTTATTGGATGAACTTGTTGTTGTGTGTGTACCTTTGGGTTGGAATGAGAAATATAATGAAGCCGTGATGGCTGGAAAAGTTAGCAAATTCAGGGGAAGTGCTGTCCGAACTTTGAAGGGATTTGTTTGCATTGAGTTTGTGATCTAAGACTTGAATTTGAGCAAGGCAATGCTATATGATGGATGGTTTCAGAGCCGTGGAGGTGAGTGATCTCAAACTATTTCTAAAATTATTTATGAACTATTTCTTGCATTATTTACTTTTGAACTGTTTTCAAAGTTACTTTTGGAACTGTTTTCTTACATATCATGCGTGCTTGCATATCTGTAAGTGCCCGGTGCAACCCAATGAGTACAAACAAATTCACAATGATGCACAAAGATATATCAAATTTAAGCACAATAAAGAAAACTTAATTAAAGAGAAAGGATAAGAAATGCAAACCAAATATCAAACCAATAGCCTCTTCAATTGATGGCGATGCTAACCAAGATGTACAAGTGAAGGCTCACTCCTTCCTCACCCCAAACACACTTTGGTTGAGCCAAGGAGTTTTACAACTATTCTAGTTAACCCTCAACAACCTACACTTGAAAGATCACTCACCCAATTAAGAACTATTATAAACAAATGAGGCAACCTTCACCAAGGTTTTACCACTTCAAGTGATAGGTTCACCTTCACCAAGGTTTTACTCCTCCTAGAGAGTAACCTTCACTTGAGCAACCTCACAACCCAACTTCCCCAACCCCTTATACAACCAACAAAGAATCTTTCTACTCAAAAATCTCACTTGTAAGCTTGTATTTTATGTTGGCAAAAGTCTTATGTCTTCTTGTGCTTTGGGGTGTTTATAGAAGGTGAGAAATGGCTCCAAAAGGCTCTCCAACGGTCAAATATTAAATGCTGTCAAAACTAGCCGTTGGCCTGTCGGACGTCCGACAGCTTAGTCATCGTCCGAAAAATCAGTCAAGTTGTTGTTCGGACGTCCGATGGGATTTTATCGTCCGAGCTTCTGTGTCCGAACGTCGTCCAGAGAGTTATCAAATCTTCGTGGAATTTTTAGGACGTCCGATGAGATTGATGTGCGTCCGAAGCATGCGTCCGATCCATCCGGACGTCCGATGCTTCCTCACGAGCGTCCGACAGAATTTCCTTCTTGATGTTCTTCATCCTTTCGGACGTCCGATAGCTTCCTTTCGGACGTCCCACATGAGTGCCCTGTTTTTGCTTCTTCTTTTGTGCCACAAGAATCTGTTCTAACAAATTGCTCACATAAAAACATTAGCCCAAATCTACATTTTGGTTTGTTAATCATCAAAACCAAGGATTGATCGACCAAGGTCAACAATATCAGTGTCTTGTTATTATTGATTTTGCTTTCAATGATTGTTAAAACAAGTTTTCTAGGCGAGCGTGTACTTTATCGCACTCGACCTAAATAAATATGAAATTTTCAATGATTAATGATTAAATGCTACTTGCGCATGAATGTAAGCCTTTTGGGCTGAACTGGCCATTGCCCCTTGTTACCGGTCGTCTCGAGCCAGAAGCGGACTCGGTCGGACGACTAGGAACTTGGGTGAACGTTTCGGTATACTCGAGTATTACCTTGTAGGTTGGTGGAGCCTGGCCAAAAGCCAGGGACGGGGTGAATGAATGCACGAATGAAACCAAATGCAATGAAATGACAGGAGAACGAACGTATCCTTTTCATGAATGTTACTATCGCTTTCCATTGTAAATGTTTCTTGAATTATTGATACATGTTTTGTAAACGTTGTAATTGTTTCTTGACTTATCCTTTGATTTACAACATCATTGAAATGAACCATTGTTAAACAGATTTGATAACTGATTTTATTGGTTACTCGCTGAGCTTCTAGCTCACCCCAAAAATGTTTTATTCCCCTCCACAGGGCTCAAAGCGAAGGAAGGGCTTGTAGTGTTTATTCATGGATTATCTCATGTATGGATTGAACTTGGATTTCCTTCTGTGTAATCATTCATATTGGGATTGTATTGAACGTTTA